TAGCCAGTTATCTCCAACAGAGACATTAAATTCTGTAACAAGTGTTTCATTTTAATTCAGGTGAAAGTTATCATTAATGCTGAGGTTACACCTCAAAAGCTGGGAGAAAACCCAAAGAAGGCTGTACCAGATCAAAAGAAAATCCCATCTCAGTGCCCTGTTCCTGATTGTGACCACTAATATATGTCTAAGAGAAGGTATAAAAACAATTAAGACAAAGAATAAAACTTCCTTGATATAACTGCCCAGCTTCCAGGAAACCTGAGGCATGTTGCCTTTTTTTCCTCCCCTTTCACAGTCCCAATGAACTTAACCTTCGTAATTTATTTTTTGCACCTTTTCAAAATCAGTTTTCCTCTGGTAAGACAGAGAGACCTAACCCTCAACCTGAAACACAAGTAGGGAACGAACCTGCTACGCAAAGAATACAGGGAAAGCACCCACTGGTTATCACCATGTTATAGAAACAACTGCATGTAGAAGCCTGCAGCACCAAACTGAGACTTTATTCTTCAACTGCTCAGTGTCCAGAAATCACAGTTCTGCACAGCAGTCATCTTTTCTAGCGTTCAGTCACAAATCATCTGGACAATGGCAAACTAAAGTTAAATCCCTGCTATCCCTCAGCTTCTGGCTCCCAGTAGATGCTGCTACCTTAATTTGACCCTGCTTACTCAAACCACAGAATGAAGAACTTCAGGGATACAGCAGAGAATAAACATGCTTCATTTCTTTTGGAATTAAAAATAGAACTATTATCCTTAACAGTTTGCAGCAAGACTTCATGAACATGAATGTCTGCATTACAGTGTATTGTGTGCATGCACAGCTTTCAGATGTGGGGAACAGTTACCAAAGATGGACATCAAGAAATTCATTACAACAGATTATCATTACCACAAAAGATGTGCCAGGAAAATACAAATACTGTATATTAAACCACATGGAGAAGTTACTGATACTCTGAGCTCAACCATCAAAATGCTTCTTTCACAATCACCAGTCCCCCACAGATTGATGAATACCCATCATCTGGGCACAAAGTATAACTTTGTATTATTAATAGTGGCATGAAAACTGAATATATTTTTTAAAAGCCCTACTATATAAAGCAATGTTTGGGGACTTTTTTTTCTTCCAGTGTACTAATTTCTAATTTAGTTACTAATCATTACCACAAAAGATGTGCCAGGAAAATACAAATACTGTATATTAAACCACATGGAGAAGTTACTGATACTCTGAGCTCAACCATCAAAATGCTTCTTTCACAATCACCAGTCCCCCACAGATTGATGAATACCCATCATCTGGGCACAAAGTATAACTTTGTATTATTAATAGTGGCATGAAAACTGAATATATTTTTTAAAAGCCCTACTATATAAAGCAATGTTTGGGGACTTTTTTTTCTTCCAGTGTACTAATTTCTAATTTAGTTACTATAGAAACAATCCTAGAGCCCTCTTTTTTTTTAAAAAAAAAAAGTCTATATATTTACACACACAGAGATAAAGGAGAACAGGTGGAGTGTATAGCAGGTTATACAGAAATGCGTAAGTGGCCAGACAAAACCCACTTGGTATTAATTTGCAGGAACACAGCTAAAAGTCCTGCAAGTCTAACAGCAACAACCACTTATGCAATGATTGCCATCACTCGTAGGGCCGTGAATGTGCAAAAACCCCGGGTCCCAGAAAATCAGGGCCATGCTTTCTGTTTAGGAAACAAATAATGCAGTAAGTATTTTTCTTCTTAGAACAGAAAAAGGGAAGTTCCACGCATCCTGGCATTATTCTAATATGTCAAATGAGAAGAAAGCAGGGCCAAGTGAACATACCTTTTCTGCTCATTCTGAAGACAGTAAAAAATGAATTCAAAGAGATTTCAGAGCTGAGTGACAGCTAACAAATTAGAAAACAGACCATGACACACAGATATAGACTAACAGTTCTGCAGTAAAATTGAACAGGAGACAGCTTTACCCAAGTTTATTTCTTTTCATACAGTGCTGTCATAAACATTTCATAAATAATTCTACTAGGAGTATGCATGATTTATAAAATGTCTGGGAGGAGCAGCCTGGCACAGTCCCTACTTGTCTTTGAGCTGCTGGCTTTCTCTCTTGCACAGTGTTGTTTGTACTTGTAAAATTGAGTCAGCTATAATTTCAACAACCCTGAATATTCTGTATAAGAGACTAAAAACACCAGTGCTACTTACTGTAGCAGAAAAAGGTATTTCAATAGTCAAGTATCCACAGAAAGCCGCTTAGACCTTAATTTAACTCTTCTGTATCACGACAGCCAAAGAGTTCCCAAAAATAAAACCGAATGCATTACATGGAAGCAAATAAACACTTTAAGCAAAGTGCTTCCGTTGAAAATAACCTTGGAGAAGGCTGACCGTTTCATTTCTAAGATTAGATGCAACTACTTACTTTTGCAGAATTGTGTTTTATCACCCAACTCTGTATGTGAAGGCACTAGCTGGGACAGTGGGCTGTGCCACCATCTGTGTGCAACGGATGACACACAAGTCTTTATTCCAAGCACTGACCCAGATGGCGCAGTACATTTGCTCACCCACTGCCTAGCTAGGAGCTTTGCAGGAGAACAAACTAGTTGAGGTTTAACCCAGACAAGGTCAACGAGTTGTTGAGAGATTTTTCTTTCCAAGTTGCTCACAGATTTAGGTTTGTCCAATTCTGGAGTGTCAGAGGACACTAACAACTTTTTTTTCATGGGCACTTGCAACCATTTCTCTCTCAGATCTGGATTTTCTCACTGTGCTATGTCTGTGTCATTTGTACTGGATCACTGCCACATATTCCACACAGTGATACTTGAAGAGGATTTTGAAAATATAGCTGAGTAGAAAAGGAGACCACCAAAATATTTTGTCATGCTAAACCTGTAAGGTACACTGTACCAGTTAACAGCAAGACTGACCCACATGTTTGCAGGAATAACTCAAGACACTAGCACTGATTCACAAAGGCCTCAAACTGAAATTTCTCCTGCCTAGAGGCAGCAGTTTACATGGAGAACTCTAGATTAACAATGCCTTCATCTGTTGGCAGATGCAATATCAAACTGAGAACATAATTTTCATACATCTCTCTTTTCTAACAGAATTGTTGCTATATTGCCCTGGGCTACCATACACCTTCTGTTGAAGGTTATATTTTATTTCAAAGTGTATTTAATTTATTATTAAAGAAAATTAATAACATTAAATTACTGGAATCAAGTTTTTGTTGATTTACAAAACAGAATTATTACACAGCTATCTAGTACCTATACTAGCACTCTTTGTCCTTCAGAGTATAAAAAGGTCAATATGAGGAATAAGGAATTATTTTCAAATAATATGGAAACATCCACCTAATGATATAATGGAATCTATCTTAAATTATCTAGCATTAGCATTCAAAAACTAGACATTATTTTGGTCAGCCACTGATTGCTCTTCATGTGGTAATTCATATTTTCAAGTAGAAACACTCCCCTATACATACTGCTCAGATCCCTACTGTTCATCTTCCTCATACATGAAAATACAGGACACTCCTGACATTTAACCCTGCAATGATGAACAAGTCAGCCTTGATCATGCAAAGCTCACACTTGACTTGAAGCATATTGAATAATTCCATTATCTTCATCAAGAATACTATCATTAGGTGTATCTGTGTCAAAGTATTCACCAGCTTGAAGAGTTAATGACACTGCAGGATTCCTGTAGGGAA